TAACAGCAAGAAATTGAAAACTTATTTGAACAAATAATGAAGGGAAACTTCCCCAATTTGGCTAAGGAAATTGATTTCCAGTAACTCCAGGAAGCCCAGAGAGCCCCAAAGAAGTTGGACCAAAGAGGAACACACCAAGTCATATCATCATTAAATTACCCAATATTAAAGATAAAGAGAGAATCCTAAAAGAAGCAAGAAGAAAGGAGAAAGTTACCTACAAAGGTCTTCCCATCAGACTATCAGCTGATTTCTCAAAAGAAACCTTGCAGGCAAGAAGGGGCTGGAAAGAACTAACTATTCGAAGTCCTGAAAGGCAAGGACCTAAATCCAAGATTACTTTGTCAGCAAAGCTTTCATTTAAAATGGAAGGGCAGATAAAGTGCCTCTTAGATAAGATCAAGTTAAAGGAGTTCATCATCGCCAAGCCATTATTATATGAAATGTTCAAGGGATTTATCTAAAAAAAAGATCAAAACTATGAACAGTAAAATGACAACAAACTCACAACTATCAACAAATGAACCTAAAAGAGAAGATAAACAATGAAAATAAAAACTAAGCAAACAACCAGAACAGGAACAGAACCAGAGAAATCCCTCTAATCACACAGAGGGATTTCATTGGGGAGGGGAAGGTATAGGGAAGAAGAAGCATAATTAGTAGGCATAAAATAGATGGGGGGAGATAAAAAATGGTATAGGAAACAGGACTCAAAGAACTTTTATGTACAACCCATGGACGTGAACTAAGGTGGAGGGAATGCTGGAGGGTTGGGGAGCAGGGCAGAGGGGGATGAAAGGAGAAAAACTGGGAAAACTAATAGCATAATCAACAGAAAATACTTAAAAAAAAAAGAAAGAAAAAAATATAAGATCAGCCCTGGCTGGTGTGGCTCAGTGGATTGAGCAGCAGCTTACAAACCAAAGGGCTGCCAGTTCAGTTCGCAGTCAGGGCACATGCCTGGGTTGCAGGCCAGGCTGGGCCCCCAGTAGGGGTGCATGAGAGGCAACCACACATTGATGTTTCTCTCCCTCTCTTCCTCCTTCCCTCACCCTTGATACAATACACTGAGAAAGACACTATACCACTTCTTCAGTGTTCTTTCCCAATACATACACCCTCAATCTAATCACAAGATAAGATCAGACAAATCAAAATTATGGGGCATTCTACAAAATAACTGGCCTTATGCTTTGAGGTATCCCGGTCATGAAAGACAAGGAAGGTATAAGAAATCATCACCTTGGAAGAAACAAAGGAAACAGGGTAACTAAGGGTAAAAAGGACCCTGGCTTAGATCTTGGAAGAGAAAAAGAGTATTAGTAGAAAAATTGACGAGACCTATACCATAGATCAAGGGTGGACTAATAGGTCCACAGGCTAAATCTGGCCCCACCACCTGTTTTCTTAACAAAGTTTTATTGAAAGACAAATACCATGTGATCTCACCCTTAACAGGAACCTAAACAACAAAACAAACAAGCAAGCAAAATATAACCAAAGACACTGAAATTGAGAACAGGCTGACAGTGACCAGAGGGGAGAGGGGAGGGAATTTCAGGAGAAAAGGAGAAGGATTCACAGGAACAAGTATAAAGGACACATGAACAAAAATTAACAGGGGTAGAAATGGGAAGGAGGTGGGGAGCACTGGGGGGGGTGGCCTGGGATGGGAGTAAAAGACAGAAAACTGTACTTGAACAATAAATTTTAAAAAGTGGAAAGTGCTCAGAAAAAAAAAAGACAGCCATTATCATTCATTTGTATATTATCTATAGTGACTTTCTGGCAATGGCAGAGCTGAATTATTGTGACAGAGACCATAAATCTTTCAGTCTAAAATATTTGCTATCTCAGGGCCAGCAACACAATGAGAAAAGCCAGACTCCTGGGTTTTAGGAGGTACACTTTCTCTCTCAAGTTTCTGCACTTGCTCAACTCTGAAAGTTAGTGCCTTCTCAAAGTGCTTACTGTAAGCACCCTGCTTGCCACCTCCTAGTCCTGACCCTAGCTGGTTCTTTATGCACACACACACAAATGCTTGCTGGCCTCTGGTTGAGTTAATACTCTTTCACCAAGGTTAATTTTCTGAATTTGATCAATGCACTATCATTAAGTATGATGTTAACATCAAGGGAAGCTGAATGATTTATATACAGGAACTGTCAAATTACTTTTGCAATTTTTTCTGTAAGTCAAAAATTATTACAATAGGCATAACAGAAAATTTTTAGAGTAGTGAAACTACCCTATATGATACTACAATGGTAAATAAGTGTCATTACACATTTGTCCAAACCCAAAGAATATACAAACCCAAGAGTGAATCATAGTGTAAACTAAGGACTTTGGGTTATTATGATATATCAATGGAGGTTCATTGGTTGTAACAAGTACATTATTCTTGTGGGGATGTTGAGAGTGGGGGAGGCTATGCGTGAAAGGGAAGAAGGGGTATATGGGAAATCTCTGTACCTTCTACTCAGTTTTTCTATGAGCTTAAAACTGTGCTTAACAAATCTATTAAAATCATTTTTAAATAAAATGTTAAATAATGAGAATGTTTTAAAATAATGAATTATAAAATAAGGATAAATTTACCATGTTCCAAGTATTACTGTGAGACCAAAACAACACCCACAACACAAAAACAACAACTTCCTTTGTGGCATGCACCGTTCTCAGCACTTGATGTTGTACGCCATGTCTCACTTAATCCCCACAACAACCCTTTGAGATGGGTGCTACTATCACCCGCATTGCAGATTAGGAACCCAAGGCATAGAAAAGTTAAGTAATCTTCCCAAGGTCACACGGCTAGTAATTGGTAAGATTTAAACCTAGGTGGTCTAAGGTCAATAAGAAAAAGAACTAGAAAAAAATGTGCTTTCCTTTATGAGTTTATGTTCAATATTCAAGTCCATGAAACTCTGAAATCAAGAAGTCTTCTTATCATTACTGTAAAATGGTGAACAAATATTAAAAATCAAATAAAATCCACACCAGAAAGAATGCCTTATACCACTAGTGTGTGGTATCTGCATCAGTAAGGACTTTAGAAGATTTATAGCATGTGTCTTCTGTGTAAAATCTAATGTAGGAAGGAAAAGTTAACTGATTTGGACTCAAACTTTTGTAAATGTTTTTGAAATGGGTGGGGGTAGTATGTTGTTTTCTACTCAATAGCATGGAAATCCTCTCATAGTTTGAAAATGTCATTTAATCAATTCCTAACATAGACTGTAAATTGTAAGTACTAAGGCAAAAGAACTACATGTCTCGACTCAGTTATTATAAGAGTAGAAATATCAAGTGGATTTGAAATTATAAATGCTAAATTGTTTTTGGATAGAGCAGTTATTGTCAATTTTTTAGAGCACCAAATCAAGAAATATTTGAAGTAAAGCCAACACAAATCAAGAGAATATCACACTAAATACTCAAAAATGGCATAAAATTTTTTAAGTATGAAGGTTGCCTCTTGCACGTGCCCCATCTGCACCCCATCGGAGGACGAAACCTACAACCCAGATGTGTGTCCTGACTAGGAATCAACAACATTTGGCTTTGCGAGATGACACCCAACCAACTGAGCCACACCAGTCAGCGCTGTTCCTTTGATTTTAAATAGTTTCTGAAAAAATTATTTGGCAATAGCAGAATCCAAGGTGTGAACAACACATATGGTAAAATGGTAACAAAGTCTGTCAATTGCTGTAAACAAAAATCACTACCAAAGTAAACAAGAGTAACATATTATCCTAAAGGAGAACTATGCACCTAAAAGAGCATTATAACCTGGTGTGTGTGTGTATAACTACAAGGTACCTAAGACAAAGTCCTCAGAGTGATGATAAAGGTTTTAATTCTTGGTGTCCAATATCACATTCTATTCTCCAGAGCACACTTTATTACTAAATTCTAGCCATATAAAACAAAGATAAATAGAAAGATACTTTGCTTTAAAATATTTTAATATTAATAGCTATACTTTAATAATAAAATAAAATAAAATTTAAAATATACACTCATAAAATAGAATATAAAATATGAATATATTTAATAATATAGTTGAAATATATTTCATATTCATCTCAATAGTATTTAAAGTATTGAAACGGGAAATAAAATATTTAACAATAACAGAATAATCAATTATAATACAATAGAATTATGCAATCATTAGAACACGTATGAATAATGTTTCATAGTATGGAGAAATCTTTGTTTTAATGTTAGTGGGTAAAAAGCAGAAATCTATAAGTACATGTATCTTCCCAGACACGTCCTCAAAAATACATGTAGAAAAAAGGCTGAAGATTAATATATCAAACATTAATAGTGTTACCCTAGGGAAGCAGAATTGTATGAGTTTTCCATAATTCAAAAAACTTTTACAACTTTTATGATTGTCTATGGGCACATTTAAAACCTTATTCCATTATAAATCAAGTGAATATATACAGAATTTTCACGTGTTTTATGTAAGAAGCCACCCTTTTAACAAGTAATTTCCCTCACACAATTTGAAATAGTAACATAAAAGGATGCTTCCTGGCTTGTATAATTTAGCTGCTCACATAAAAGTACATATTTTAGTAAAACATTTAAAAAGTACTAATTACTAGATAATTACATTTCATCTCAGTTATAATGTAAATTATGATAATAAAGCTATAGCTTCTGTATGCTATGAAACACAGCCAACAGCAATCACAACAAAATATCAAATATCTATTTTTAATATATTTGAAATAGAGTCTATGGTCATGTAGCAGAACACACATATTCAATCAGAAGTGTCCATAAAATTGCAAGAGGACATTATTCAAGTAAAAACCCAATGCACTTTAAATCCTTAACTTTCTCTGAGCCAAAAGTGCTTTAAAATAATACAAGATTAGGTTTTTAGACAATGTGACTAACATTTCAAAGTTAAAATCTTAAATGAAACTTGAAATACTGTTGTGAAAAAACAGCATTATCCATTGTCTTACCGAAGACAGTTCATCACATCCTAGGAGCATGTAGTAATCTTCGTTATCTTCCAACCTGTAATTCAGTATTGCATCCATTTAGATCACTAAATCAGTTCTTGACCCTGAAACAAGAGGCACAATGAGCTGAGAATTAACAAGAAAAGCCTTTTTAAATCTGGTCTACACCAGCATATTCCAAACTGCACTAACTAGATTTAAGACTGGACAGAGCCAATACACCAGATGTCACCCAAGACCTGTGTAAACTACCTTCCATTGGCTCTTTACAGAAGAAAAAAATAGACCTCATACTTAACTGTTGCAGTGCTACATGGGATTTGTAGTTTGAGTTTATATAAGCAATTCAGATGAACTTTTCCTCTTGTGGATAACAAAGGCTGCCCATTTTAACATACTCCTCAAGTGAGTCATCTCCTATATATTTTTTTTCCTTCTTTTCAAGTGACAAAAGAAAATTTGAGGCAATATGCTAAAATCTTAGGATTTGTTCATATGAGTAATGGGTGGTTTTTTAAGTGCTTAGAATATTTAGAAATTTTTTAAAGAGTTGAGTAGAAGGAAATAGACTAGGGAAGCAAATTTTCATTAACTTGATCATTCATTCATTCAACAGGTATTTATTATGGACTGATTTTGTTCCCAGCACGAAGGTAAGAAAGGTATGATAAACAAGCCTGGATTCTTAGGGAGCTTACATTCTGACAGAGGGAGGCAAACAAGAAACATGCAAACATGTAAATAGTAAAAGAAAACAGAAAAGTGAGGAGAACTATATGGGGATTTGTGTGTCACTTCTCCTGGGTTGGCTCGCTCCAGTTTCAGGAGTGTGTCTGGCCTGCAGTGGGTGCAGGGAATCTGTGTTTCAGCTCACTCTGGCTCTAGGAAATGCAGGTGAGGTCTAGGATTTAGAGGAGAAAGTGAGTAGTGAGGTATACAAAATTGTAACTGCCTTAACTTTTTAAATTCCTCCATAAATTATTACCTTGGAAAAAATACTTTTTCATTGAGCCCACCTGTATACATCTTTTTAAAGGTTTATTTCTGAAGAGAAATAAAGCACTGACACACCAATTTTACTAATGCTTCATTATATATCCTCTCTTACTAAAAGTTCTGTATGGACTTCACACCAGTCAGAATGACCATCATAAACAAATGAATAGTGCTGGACAGGTTGTGGATAAAAGGGAACCCTAGTGCACTGTTGGTGGGAATGCGGATTGCTGCAGCCACTGGGGAAAATAGTACAGAATTTCCTCAGAAAACTAATAATGGAACTGCCTTTCCACCTGGCAATTCCACTGCTGGGATTATACCCTAAGAATCCTGAAACACCAATTCAAAAGAACCTATGCACCCTAATGTTCATAGCAGCACAATTTACAATAGCCAAGTGTTGGAAGCAACCTAAATGTCCATCAGTAAATGAATGGATCAAAAAACTATGGTATATTTACACAATGGAATTCTACACAGCAGAAAGAAGGAAATCCTCTGCTTCACAACATCATGGATAGATCTGGAGAGCATTATGCTAAGTGAAGCAAGCCAGGTGGTAAGAGAAAAATACCATATGATCTCACCTGTAAGTGGAACCTAATCAACAAAACAAACAAGTGAGCAAAATATAACCAGAGACATAGAAATAAAGAACAAACTGACAGTAACCACAGGAGGAGGAGAGGGATAATGTGGGAAAATAGGGGAAGGACCGTCAAAGAACATGTATAAAGGACACATGGACAAAGCCAAAGAGGGTAGGTTCGAGGGTGGGAGGTGGGGATGGGTGGGGTGGGGGGTATGGTAGGGAGAAAATGGAGACAACTTGAACCTTAAAAAAATTATAAAAATTAAATTAAATTAAAAGTTCTGTATGGAATTTTTTAATAAAGTAAATAATTTTGTTTTAGAAATTTCACATTCCTTAAGACATTTGGAGATCTACTTGGGTATCACAAAGTCCTAACCAAAATAACTAGACATGATCTTAAAATGATATAAAGTTATTGCTATGGAAAACAGGATGCTGATTCCTCAAACAATTAAACATGGAATCACTACATGATCCAGCAATTCCACTTCTCAGTATATACTCAAAAGATTTGAATGCAGGGACTTGAACAGACTTCTGTATACCCATAATCGTAACATCATTATTTATCATAGGCAGAAGGTAGAAGCAACCCAGTGTCCACTGACAGAGGAATAGATCAGGTGGGATATACACATGCAATGGAATACTATTGGGCCTTAACAAGGAAGGGAATGTTGACACATGCTACAATATGGATGACCCTGGAAGACGTTAACTGAAATAAGGCAGACACGAAAGGACAAATTCAGTAGGATTCTACTTATGTAAGTTACCTAGAGGAGTCAAATTCGTAGAGAGAAAAAAATTCCAGGGGCTGTGGAAGGGTCAAATGAGGAGTTAGTTTTTAATGGGCATGAAGTTTTAGTTTGGAAAAATGAGGAAAGTTCTGAAAATGAATGGTAGTGATGGTTGTGCAACAATGTGAATGTACTTGATGCCAATGAACTATACACTTAAAAGAGTTAAAATGGTAAATTTTATGATATATTTTTTTACCATAATTAAAAAGTGATGTAAATTTCCTCAAACATGAGACAACCTTGACCGTAAATAAATTAAAGTACTGCTCCTTTACTCTCCATCCTGAGAGCAGTTAGGACAATGCTTTAATGTTGTTCTGAAGAGCAAAAAGAAAATTACAAAAAGAATTTTGGTAAATACTTACTCATGTTTTATTGTATTAAATGCAACTTGAGGCTCTTTTTCCTGAACCACCACATTCTCAAACTCTCCAGTATACCATATAGTTATTGAGAGTGATGTAGAAACATATTTAATGCCTGAGAAATGTTCACATTTTGTTAGAAAACTGTATGTACCAGTAAAAATTCACTGAGCACTGAGACCTGTGCATGTTACTGAGTATGTTATATCCTCAAATTCATCTCAATGTAAAAAGTAAAAAATATAAAATTATACAAGTACATATAGTATGATTCCAGCTCTGTAAATTTACAATGTATGTATATTTATAAAATGTGAGAACGTATATACACCAAAATAGATCAGTTGTCACTAGATAATGAGGTCACAGGTGATCTATATTTTATTCTTTTTACTTATCTACATTTGCTCAGATGTACATATATTATCCTTATAATAAGAAAAGAGCACTAAAAAACAAGAAAGTAAAAACTGTAAAATGTCAAACTCCACATAACAATTTATTTACTGGAAGAAATGAATCCTGCCATCACAAACTTCCCCTCTGCTGGGCGTCTTGGCCACTGTCCCGGCTGACTGGTTGGTGCAGCTGTTGTGTGTTCAGAATGACTCCTTGCTTACAGGGATCACAGTGCAATGGACACAGTGCTGAACTCTGACCCTTGTTCCTTGAGTAGGAATATGTTTTAGTCACCACAGCTCCCATATTAGTGCATTAAGCTGGTTGAGAATATAAGATTAATTCAAATGAATGTTACCACATCACATAATCAAATGCTAAATTGTGTGGTTTTGAGGAAAAAGCTAAACCATTGAAGCTTTCTCATAAAATGAAAAGAAAGAAGAGGCAACACACATAAGCTGTCACAGAAAGATGAAAATGTCCATAGCCAGTTCAGGCACAGGTGTGAAAAACGACCTTACAGCAGAGTGAGTTAGAGAGAAAAGCCTGTAAGTCTAGAATGATGATGAGACCTGGGCCAGCTTGTGGAGAGGGAGCCTTGCTGATCAGGCAGAGGATACTGAGCACGTATAGGGGCAACGGGGAACTACTGTAGCTTCTTGAGCATGTGAGTAACAGGTTGTAAGTGGAACTTTAAAAAGATTAATCCTGTAGCCACGTACTTTTGGAAAGAAAGCAGGAAAGCAGTGATGAATACAGTTAAACTATTAATTCGAGAGTTAGGCCCACTTTTTTTTTTGAATGGGTACTACCTACACATAGTACAAAATTTTAAAGGTATAAAAGAGTAGGCAAGGAAGGTGTCCTTCCACCATTGGCCCTCCCACCACCAGTTTTCTTTCCTAGCGAAAACCACTGGTAACAGTGTCTTATGTCTGCAGATTCATTTTAAGCACTTACATACATATATATATATATATATGCATTTGCATGCATATACATATGATAAGTTGTTCATCTACCAGAGAAGCAAAATTTCTAACGTTTGATATTATCCAATGTTAAAGCAAAAATGACTAAGAACTTTCATACATGTTGGATGAGAATGTACATTGGTGCAATTTGGCAACTTGGTGGTATTTATTAACTTGTATAAAGCATATATACATCGTTGCCTGGGCAATATTTTTCCCTACCAGAGGATTTACACCAAAGCAATCAATGCCAACAGAAAAAAAATGGAAACAACCAAAATGTCCCACAGTGGGTTCAGAAGAGAGTAGTGGATGAATAAACCATGGTATCTGTAGAATGAAAATAGATTATCAAATGAAAAGGGAAGGTTGAGGAGAGTATTATGACATTTTCTCTTTGCGTACTTTTTTTTTAATATCATGTACCTTTGCACCTAATTTTTTTTTTAAGAAGCAGGTAAGTGTTTTCCTTTCAAGAGTGGGAGCTGGACAGGTAGGTACAGCTTTTAGTTTTAGTTTATACTTTTGGGAACTGTATGAAGTCAGTGTAGTCAGCCCGCCACTTTTGCCTTCTTCTTTATGCTTTTAAGTATTTTAAAACAGTACGTGTCATTTGTTTTATTTACATATGTTCCCTGAAGAAAACCTTAAGACATACCAAACCTTAAGACATACCAAAATAGGTGGTAGAAATCAAGTGAAATTTTTAACAGAGTTACAACGCACTAGTTAGTACCTCAAGAGAGGCGAGTCAGACGCACAAACTCAGGACCAACGCGAAGCCAAATCCGCCGAGTTTACTCGCTTTTCAGAAGCCTCGTCCACCCAGGCCTACAACTCCCAGGAGGCTTCGGGGGAAAGACGTAAAGGGGCGACTCAAGACGTTCCAGCTACTTCCTGCCTCCAGGAAACGTCCCTCCGGAAGTGCTTTTTAAAAATGATCACTACATCAATTCTCTGGTAGACTTTAAGGGGGAAGAAAGAAACAAGTAAAATTCAGGTCAAACGAAAAGTAGAAAGGCCAGGAGTTAAGAGTCTACAAGTCCCAGATGCTCGGGGCGAGGACAGCAGTTAACCCCTAGGTGGGCTCCGTGCGGACTCAATCCAAAGCGTGCCGATCTTCTGCCCCTGGCTTTTCCTTCCAGTCTCTTGCCATGTTTCTGCCTTGTTTTCCTTTCAGGTTCATCGAAACCGAGTTTCCAAGAAGTTAAGCCCAAGCTCCAGAAATTGTCTACCACCATTATTCCTGAGAGAACACAACACGGCCCTGGCTCCCTGCGCAGGGATCCTGGGAAATTAGTTGTGCGCTAACTAGTTAACGCACTAGTTAGTGGTTATTCAGTCATAACCACTAACTCTTAGTGCCCACTCACAATCTACTGCTCGTTCCAGCATAAGATCTGGGGGAAAGAAAATGGGGTTGGCCAGGATTTTAGCCTTGCTTATGTTTTGCTCTCCCTGGCTGCCAGAGCAAACCAGCATTCTGAAACGAGAACAGGATACGGATAGGTTTAAACAGTTTTTCTTTTAAGCAGACACAATAGAATTCGTAAATGATTCTTTAAAGGCTATGGAAACATTGCTTTGAAGTTTTAGTCAAGTGCAATAATAAATGCTAGTAATCCCATTGTTAATAATAATATATCAGTAGTGGGGAGTGTTGTGTGCGGGGGCCTGGGAGAACTTTGAGTTCAATTTTACTGTGACCTAAAAAACAAAAAGTTTATTAATTCAAAAAATAATAATAACAGGAAGTATAATAACTACTATTACCAAGCTCCTATTGTGTGACAGTGGTAAAGCTAGGTCATGAACTTTGTTGTATGTGACTCCAAAAGCCCGTAGTGAAGGAAATGCATGAAAATACCCCCTCAGATTACCTAGTTAGAAGTTTGGCATATTAGAAAATGCACTTGGCAATGCCATTAGGAAACCAGATTTCTGTATTAGCCCTCCACAGTTCCTTGATGAGCCACACTTTTCCTGATCTGTGAAGGAAGATATCAATCCACAGTAATCTTAAAGTGCACACAAATCACCTGGTGATCTGGTTAGGGTGCAACTTTAGCTCCAGGATGTCTGGGTGAGGTCCGAGATTCTGCATTTCTGACAAATCCCCAGGTGAAGTCCCTGTTGATTCAGGGACCACAGTTGGAATAGCAAAGGGTGGGATGACCTGTGAGATCTTTTTTTTTTCAAGCTCTAATATTTTTACAGTGGATCATTCTTTCCCCCTCTGACCGTAGTGCCTTTATTCTCAAAGAAATATTAAAAGAACTTTCAAAATTGAATGATCAAAGTTTCCTATCTGAAGCCAAAAACTGAAAAATGACTAAACTATGATATAGTAGTTTAATCATTATGCCTTGGAAAGATACATAAGAAAAAATAAAATTAGTTGCCTTTAGGGAGGGCCCAAGTACATAAATGGGAGGGAAATTTTACTGTACTTTGTTTTTAAATAACAAATACCATAAACCAGGTGGCTTATACGCAACAGATATTTCTTTCTCCCAGTTCTGGAGGCTGAACGTCTGAGATCAGGGTGCACCATGGTCATGTGACTTCTCATTGTAACATCACATAGTGCAAGGGGCTCAGAAGCTCTGTTGGGTATATATATATATATATATATATATATATATATATATATATATATGTAATTTTATTATGCTATTACGGCCATCCCATTTTTTTCTCCCTTTTATTCCCCTCTGCCCTGCACCCCCCCTCCCACCAACATTTCCCCCTCACCTTAATTTATGTGCATGGATCAAACATATAAGTTCTTTGGCTTCTCCATTTCCTATACTATTCTTAACCTTCCCCTATCTATTTTGCACCTACCATTTATGCTGCTTATTCCTGTACCTTTTGCCTATTCTCCCACCTCTCCTCCCCTTCACCACTGATAACCCTCCATGTGATCTCTATTTCTGTGAATCTGTTCCTGTTCTAGTTGTTTGCTTAGTTCATTTTGTTTTTTGTTTTTTTAGGTTCAGTTGTTGATAGTTGTGAGTTTGTTGTCATTTTACTATTCATAGTCTTTGATTATCTTCTTTTTGTTAGCTAACTCCCTTTAACATTTCATATAATAAGGGCTTGGTGATAATGAACTCCTTTAACTTGACCTTATCTGGGAAGCACTTTATCTGCCCTTCCATTCTAACTGATAGCTTTGCTGGATAGAATAATCTTAAATGTAGGTCCTTGCCTTTCAAGATTGAATATTTCTTTCCAGCCCCTTCTTGCCTGTGAGGTTTTATTTGACAAATCAGCTGAGAGTCTTATGGGAACTCCTTGGTAGGTAACTCTCTCCTTTTCTCTTGCAACTTTGAAGATTCTCTCATCTTTAATCCTGGCTAATGTAATGATGATGTGCCTTAGTGTGTTCCTCCTTGGGTCCACCTTCTTTGGGACTCTCTGAGCTTCCTGGACTTTCTGGAAGTCTATTTCCTTTGCCACATTGGGGAAGTTCTTCACTCTTTTTTTCAAATAAGTTTTCAATTTCTTGTTCTTCCTCTTCTTTTGGCACCCCTATGATTCAGATGTTGGAAAGTTTAAAGTTATCCTGGAGGTTCCTGATACACTCCTCATTTTTTTTGAACTGTTTCTTCATTCTGTTCTGGTTGAATGTTTACATCTGCCATCTGGTCTAAATGGTTAATTTGAATCATGGTTTCTTTCCCTTCACTGTTGGTTCCCTGTATATTTCATGTTCATCAGCAATATTGGCCTGAAGTTTTCTTTCTTTGATGTGTCTTTATCTGGTTTTGGGATTAGGATGATGCTGGCTTCATAAAAAGAGTTTGGGAGTCTTGCATTATTTTGGATTTTTTGTAATAGTCTGTGAAGGATAGGGGTTAGCTTTTCCTTAAATGCTTTGTAGAATTCTCCTGTAAAATCATCTGGTCCAGGGCTTTTGTGTGTTGGGGATTTTTTTTATTACTGCTTCAATTTCACTTACTGTTATTGGTCTGTTCAAGCTTTCTGCTGCTTCTTCGTTGAGTTTTGGAAGATTATATTTTTCTAGAAATTTGTCCATTTCACCTAGGTTTTCACATTTCTTGGCATACAGTTCTTCATAGTAGTTTCTTGCAATGTAATTACCTGTGTTTTGAACTCTGCATCTGAAAATCTGGCTATCTCCTCATCCCCTAGTTCTATTTTTGGAGCTTTGATCTGTTCTTCGGGCTGTATTTTTTTTTTGTCTTGGTGCACCTGTTACATAGCAATGGGCAAAGCCTTAGGTATTCACCAGGGTGGGGCAACCCATGTGGCTGCATTGTAGCACTGGATGTTGGGGAGGGGTCTGAGAGGGAACAATGCCACTTGCCGAGCTCTGGGCTGGCTTTCAGTCACTTCCTCCTTTACCCAAAAGCAAATTGCACCCTTCTGGTGCTGATTCCCAGGTGGGTGGGTTTGTGTACATTCTAGGACCCTGTGTGTCTCTCCAGTGAACTCTTCTGTGAGGCTGGGAGTTTCTCCCACTGTTGTGATCCCCACAGGTTTTAATAGTCAGAGGTTTGGGGGCTTTATTTCCTCGTGCTGGAACCCTGGGTTTTTTGGTCTCTCTCACTCCCCAGTTGTTCCTCCAGTTTATTCCCATGCAAATTGGCAAGGCAGCATCTGGCAGACTGAGCAGTCCCATATTTGTGTAATTTTATACCTTCTAAATTTATACTGTGTATTTTCTATAGGAGGGGGAAGAGCCATTATCATAGGGGAAAAGCCATGAAGGAACATGTATAAAGGGCACATGACAAAGCTAAAAGGGGTAGGTTCAAGTGTGGGAGGTGGGAATGGGTAGGAGGAACATGGTGGGGTGAAAATGGAGACAACTATACTTGAACAACAATAAATAAATAAATAAATAAATAAATAAATAAATAAATAAAGATTCATTTTTTTCCACAACATGATGGACCTAGAGGGGATTATGCTAAGTGAAATAAGCCAGTGGGAGACAACTATCATATGATTTTACTTCTATGTGGAAGCTAAAGGACTATAGAAATGAATGAACAAAACAAAAACAGATACAAAGAACAGACTTATGGTTGCCAGAAGGAAGGGGTTTGGGGGGACTGCTTGATAAAAGTGAAGAGATTGAGAAGTACAGATTGGTAGTTACAAAACAGTCATGGGGATGGAAAGTACAGCACAGGGAATACAGTCAATAATATTGTAGTGACTATGTATGGTGCCAGGTGGGTCTGGAAATATCAGAGGAGACACTTTCTATGGTACATGATTGTCTAACTGCTATGCTATACACCTGAAACTAATACAAAATAATATTGAATGTAAACTGTAATTAAAAAAACATCAAAATGTTTTATTTTTTAATATATTTTATTGATTCTGCCACTACAGTTGTCCCACTCCCTCCCCCTTTATATCCCTCCACCCGGCACACCCCCTCCCACCAGCATTCCCCAGCCCTTAGTACATATAAGTTTTTTGGCTTCTCCATTCTCTAGACTATTCTTAACTTCCCCCTGTCTATTTTGTATCTACCGTTTATGCTTCTTATTCCCTGTACCATTTCCCCCTCCCCCTTCTCCTCCCCATCCCCATAGATGACCCTGCATGCGGTCTCCATTTCTGTGATTCTGTTCCTGTTGTAGTTGTTTTCTTAGTTTGTTTTTGTTTTAGTTTTTTATGTTCAATTGTTGATAGTTGTGAGTTGTCATTTTGCTGTTCATATTTTTTATCATCTTCATTTTCTTAGCTAAGTCCCTTTAACATTTCATATAATAAGGGCCTTTTGTTTTTAAATCTGTTGTCTTTCTTTTGGTTGTGCAAGGAGGCACAGTACATCTACCTACCTAAAATGTTTTAAAAATAATAATTCATTTTGAATCA